GTTTAATCCTAACTGGTTGTTTTCCCTCCTTGAGCTTAATCTGTATTGGGGGTGCATTTCTGGCTTTCCCGGCTATGTTTGTAGCCCATACTCCCGGGAATACTTGATCAAATATATCTTCCCTAACCTTCTCTTCTGTCTGGTGTGTGATCAGTTCTAAGCTTAACATTTCTATGTATTGTTGATCATTTACTTTCAAGGTGATCTCACCTTCTTTGAAGGTAATAGTGACCCCCAGTTGTTCCAACAAATCTCTCCCCAGGAGAGCCTTTGGGGCATTAGGCATATATAAAAATTTATGAATGTCCCATTGCTTTCCCAATTGATATTTCAGTGGCTTACAAAAATATGCCTTTTCACTTTGGCCAGTTGCCCCTTTTACAGTAACATAGTCTCCCCCTACAGGTATCAATGCCTTATTCAAAGCCGAATATTTTGCCCCAGTGTCTACTAAAAATTCCACTTCATTTCCTCTAGTCCATAGTTTTAATGTAACCAGTGGATCCGCTAGGGAGGATTCCCTAGGTCCCTTGTCAGTCTAGTTCCAATTCAGCCACCGGAGCCACCCCATGGCACTCTCTCCGCCCCCCAGGGCAGTCTCACTTCCAACGTTCAAAACTCCCCACAGCACACACACCGATCCGGTCCCATAGGAGAAGAATCCACTTCCCCCACCTTTGCCGACATTCCCCCTCCATCAGTTTCGAAGCACTTCTGTCCACATCTATTCAACAACCCCTCAGTCCCGTCTGTCAACATGTCTGTTCCCACTTGTTTACCTGCCCCAGCAGCACCCATCCCGTGCTCAAACACAGGAGCTGCGCGAGCTCCCCTCCTTTCCACTTGGTTTCCTTTTTTTTTTCCCTCACAGTTGCTCCCCCTGCTCTGCAGAGGTTTCAGATGCCTGCCGCTGCTGCAGCACTTCCAGTTTAACCCTTTCTTAACTCTGAATGTGAATGTGCTGCTTGTCGCAGGTGACAGCAATCTCCTCCTCCTTATCAATATCTGATAGGACAGATATAGAGGGTGCTCCTCTCAGAGGTATGTGATACATAATTTTCCCATTTATAACTTTCAATCATCATTCCCCAATATCCCAGGCCGAACAACATCTCTCCAGCTTAGCTTCCAGTTTTTCCTTGTCCTTTTCCAGAGCCAGAATTAGGGATCTGGCAGAGCTATATTAATTTCACATTCTGCCTGCCACTCCGGGTGATCTCCCACAGTGAAAAACATATCTGTATACAGCACTTAATCCCATTTTCCTGGCAACCTCAAAACCAACATTCATTGTAACAATGTATTATAATTCAGAGTTCCATTTTTAGGCCATTTCTCCTGATCTTCCAAAGCATATAAAGGCCACCATTGGTTACAATATTTTATCAATGTTTTCTTGTTTACCCCAGAAGACCCTCCCAGTTCTTTCCAGTGTGCCAAAATGTAACCCAATGGGCTTTTCTTCAGAATTCCCTTGTTTTGACCGGCTCCCATTTCAAACAATCTTTTACAAATCTCTGCAGCTTCTCTTTCCCAGTGCTCTGCAAATGCACTTGAAAAATATGAGAGCACCTACACACGAATTTTATGACATTCTCAGGGGGTTCAGTAAAATGATACCTTTGGGCTCTGCAGATCAACTCCCCTGTTGTTAGATCACAGTTTCGGTTCCATCAAAATTTACACTGTCCTAGTGTCCACGGCAGGTTCCACTATTCAAAAGTTATTATGCACCCATATATGAGGCTACAAGCCTCTGGTACCGAGTGTAAAGTTCAGGTCTCAAGAGGCTATACTTCTGTTATACAGCCACTGGGGCGCAGAGGGAACTCTTCTTAACACACACCCCCCCCAGTAGCAACAGTTTACTTTTTGTCTACTGCTCCCCCACCGCTTAAGCACTGTAATCTTTAACAGCAACGACAGACATATACACACACAAAACATTTAGACACAACACAGAAGACACTTTGTCCGTCCCCGCCCGCTCTCCTCGCGGAGGACACGGAACTGCGGATCGGGAGCCGAAACACAACACAAAACAAAAACACTTCGTCCGTCTCCGGCCGCTCTCCTCGCGGAGAACACGGAACCGCGGATCGGGACTCCGCACTCGCTTCGTAGCTACGCTACGTCTCAGTCACACAAACACAAACCACTTGCACTCGGGATCCCCCACACTTACACCAGTTTACTCACCACCAGATGCCACTTGCACCCTTCAGTGAGACCTGGAGCTCGATACAGCGGCGGGCTCCCTTAGCCCGGAGCTCCTTTTGGATTCGTCCCATACAAACCGCTGCTCTATCAGCAGACGAATCCCTAGACTCACCCGACCCACCACCAGGGTCGCTAGCGGCCGCTCTATCGGTCGATGAGTCCCTTGCTTGCAAGCCCTACCTACCAAGGGGAACAAGGCTGTGCGCCAGACGTCTCTGAGCGCCTTACCAGCAGCCCCGGCCACGCGTACGCCTTACAGGCCTTTACCCATCCTAGGACAATTACAAACCTAAATTCCAAGCATACCGTTTCTCCGCAGCCGACACAGGTTGTTGTCTGTCCCTGCAGTGAGCGGACGAGGAGTGGAGCCCCTCCAGGCAAGTGGCCTGGGGCGCCTAGGAGGTCCGCCCCTCCGCCGATCCTGCAGCCGAACAGAGATCTCCTGCCTGGCTCGCCAAATTGATAGCGGAATAGACTCCACAACTTGGTTAAAGTTGTAAAGTAGGTATGCTTTATTCAGCTGAAGACGCACGGGGGATTGGTCCTCCAAAAGGCATGCGTGCCTCAGTGCCGTTTTCCTTTTACATTTATCCTGTAAAGTCATACATAGGTATTAGGTCGCACAATACGCCTATACATATTCATATTCTATCCCCGCTTCGTATTATAATGAGCTAAAAGGCGCTCCACGCATGCGCAGTGCCTCCTGCTGGTCTTGGGCAGGGGTCTTCAGATGAAGTAAGTAGTCTTCCTCTTGTGGGTAGGGGTCTTCAAGATGAAGTAAACGAGTCTTCCTCAGGCTTGAACTTTTTACCTCTGGTCCTCACGCATGCTCTTTAGGAGCTGGATGGGTCTGGTCCATGTCTAGCTGGTTTAATGAGCTATTCCCTTCGTTAGGAAGCCTTATCTTAGTGCTGTCTGATAAGGCAACTGCTGGGCTTGTCAAGCCAGCCATGATTTAAGCAGTACTCCTTGTACAACCCCCATTCTCCTCACTAGGAGGTTTTGTTCTGGTATTTGTCTGATAAGACATCTGCTGAGCTCGTTAAACCAGCTATGACTTAAGCAGTACCCCCCTGTACATTTTGACAACCCCCCTGTACATTTTGACAACCCCCCTGTACATTTTGACAACCCCCTTGTACACAATAGGCCACATCAGTTTCAACGAGCATCACATTTACAGAATGGTTTACACTTCCTTTATGATTTTCAGAATTAAGCACTGCTGTATTATTTCACAGGATGAAAGAAGGTGCACAGAAGGCACTCAGAAGCTCAAGTAGCTCAGAAACACAAGTGGAAGGGCCAGGGTACTTTTTTTCTACAGTTCTTAAAAGGTGCATTGAACTGGTACAAGCCCTGTCTCTGTTCTCCTGCACTTCAACATAAATAAAACTCCTCAGCCAGGAATTTATCCCTCTTTCCTTAACAAGTCTGGCATAACAAAATACTGTGGGAAAAGGATGTTGTTCTTTTTCTGTAGACTAAATATATAGTCTGTTTAACCTAATTAAACAGTTGGGGTTTGGGGTTTTTTTCTGTGGTGTTTTTTTTTGGGGGGGGGGTTTGGAGTTTTGTTGTCTTGTTTTTTTCCCTCTCTAGCAAAGAGGTATGCCCCATTAGCTGTTATGCTACTGCTGAAAACTCTTGTTTGCAGGAGAACAATTAATGTCTTAGTTGCATTTCTGCCAAACAGTGGATTTCATAGAATCATAGGTTTGCTTGGAAAGGACGTTAAGATTGTCTAATTCCAACCCCCCCCACCATGGGCAGGGACACCTCACACTAAACCATGTCATGCAAGGCACTGTCCAACCTGGCCTTGAACACTGCCAGGGAAGGAGTATTTACTACTTCTCTGGGTAACCCATTCCAGTGCCTCACCACCCTTACAGTAAAGAATTTCTTCCTTATATTTAAAATAAACTTCCCCTCTTTAAGTTTTAACCCATTACCCCTTGTCCTGTCACTACAGTCCCTAATCAAGAGTCCCTCTCCCGCATCCCTATAGGCCCCCTTCAGATACTGGAAGGCTGCTATGAGGTCTCCACACAGTCTTCTCTTTTCCAGGCTCAACAGCCCCAGCTTTCTCAGCCTATCTTCATACGGGAGGTGCTCCAGTCCCCTGATCATCCTTGTGGCCCTCCTCTGGGCTTGTTCCAACAGTTCCATGTTCTTATGTTGAGGACACCAGAAAAGCACAGTGCTCCAAGTGGTGTTTGTGAGGTAAAAGCACACTTTAGGTTATCATGAAGAAATTAAGGGATATTCAGATGCCCAGGCAGCCGAGCAGGACCATGAGATGTACCCACTGTGAACCCGCAATTCCCGCACCTCCCGTTCGCTCTCACAGGCCTCGGGGCTACCCCAGCGCCACAGCGCAGCCCCAGGGGGGCGCCGCACCCCGCCCGCTCAGCGGCTCACCTCTGCTACCTATAGGCCGCGGTATAGAGCGCCGAAGCGCGCCACTCCGCGCCGCTCCTCCCCCCGGCCCAACGGCTGCGCACCACACTTCACCGCGACTACAAAGGAGCGAAGCACGCGCTCTGCCGCCGAAGCGCGAGCCTATTGGTTGGCGGGCTGGGCACGTGACTTACCATCAAGTGCACGTGGCGGTGGCCTTACTAGGGGCTTAGAGGAGCGGCGCCATTTTCTGTCGGTGCGGAGCACGGCTTTAGGCGTCTGACTCTTCTCTCCTCCTGGAGGATAGTCTCTGCTCTGACAGTGGTGACGAGGACAGTGAGTGCTGGGATAGGCAGGCTTAATGGTATCTGCTCTGTGGGCGCTGTGGGACCAGCAGTGGGGGGCAGTCAGGGGTTGCTGCTAATTTATTTTGCCTCCTGCAAGCAGATCTGTCAGGCCACAGCATGAACCCAGAAGACTGGAATTCAGAGATGGGGGAGGAGGCATCACCAATCCTCACAGCCCTGGAGCAGGTATGGGGGGCTGTACCATGTTTGCTTTTCTTCCCCTTTCTTTTTTCCTTCCATCCCCAAGCCTGCTGCCTGGACAGTTGGTGGGCTGAGGTTCCCTGTAACTCGTGAAGCACTTGGAGGAACTTTTTCTTAACTTGTGTGTTGAAATGACCATGTTTTCTTAACAAATAACTACAGTTTTAGTCTCTAAACGTTTAGGTACCCTTCCTACCTGGAGGTTCTGGGTCCGTGGTCATTGTGGCCAATTAAATGTTACTCTTCCACCTGCTTAACACTGGCTGGCCATTTCCATTGGGTTGTGAGACAATGTGTCATTTTTGGAAAAGTGTATTTCATGAAAGTGGCACATACTAGTAAGTCGTTACTTTTGATCTTTGGGCAAAGACTTGAGTACCAGTGTGGATAGGCTAGTAGACTAGGAAAGACTGGAAAGAAACTTAAGAACTTAGGTAGTCTAGAAGCTTCTAGTTGCAGATTAGTGGTAAGGGGTATTCAAAGGGCTCTGTAACTACTGAAAATGGTGGTTCCTCTTGCCTGCCATTTTCCCCTTCTAATGGATTCCCTTATGTATGTCAGATCTTTTGTTTCTGAAGTTGTAAGTAAACTGAGAACAGATCACTGGTTTTTGAGTGTTAGTAGGCTGCAGTTTCTCACACAAATCAGGTTGGTCCTTGTTCCTGTCTGTTGAATAATGAAATGGCAGTGCTAGAACTGTGTTCCTAAAGACTAGCAGAACCATGTTTTTTTGGTAATAGTTTAGTTCTTAGATGTGGGTTTGTTACCCAGCTGGTAACTAAGTACCTGCAACAGAGCCACTTGTTTTCCTTTGCTACCTTGCTCCCTGGTGATATGGGCAGGAGAATTGGAAAACAAAAGGTAAAAGGTTGAGATAAGAACTGTTTAATAATTCAAATAAAATACATTAAAAATACTGAAAAATACTTAAAGAGATTATAGTATTGTTTTGAACAATACGCGTCTGAGGTGACGAAGCTGCTGCCTACAGCGACAGAAGGTAAGTTAAACTTAATTAACTCCACATTAGCTGTGTATAACATGGTTTTGGTGATGTTTAGATGCAAACAGTATGCCCTTTAGTATACCAGAGAGTAATAAGCAAGTGAACACAAGAGTCTGAGAAGACTGCATCTTGGTGCAGTGGGCAGCTTGTTTTAAGTGCAAGACTTAACGACTGTATTTGTTGTGTTTGGCCTGGGTTTAACATGATGTTGTGCTTTTTTTTCTTTCTGTAGGCTAGCTTCACTGCAAGACCAAATGGTCCCTCCTCTGACTTCAGTCCAAGTGTAGGCACACTGGGTAGGTAAAAGGCACTTTTACAGACATATGGGGGGAGTTGATCTCTTGAACACTTTAGGAGATTAAAAAAGTGCACAGTACTATTGTTGTGATATTTCCATGGAGGGAGCAGGTAACATAGTGAGCTGACTTCCCTTTTGACCCTCAACCCTTTATTGCAAGTATGTGTTGAATATGGCATATAGTTTCTAGTGAGAATCAATAGGTGTTACCTCACAAGTGTTTCTAAACATGAACTGTATTAAAAATAAGTGTTATTTGCAATGTTTAGCAGTTCTAGTGATACCCTTTTTCACAGATCTGTTGAAAATAGGAAAAGGTCAGATGAAGTTGTAGAAAGGAAATCCTAAAAAAATACAAGACAGAACATTGTTTGGTATCAAGTTTCTGTAAAGCACTCTTGATTTAATGAACTTAATGCCTTTATAAACTTGAAGTTTTACATAGATAAGTTAGAAGAAGTTTAGATTAGGAGACAGAAGTTTTAAGTATGCCAAGCCAGAGTTGCTGCTGAAGGAAACAGCAGATGTGTTTTTTATGTCTCCAGGTTGCTAGCTACAGTAATAGGTGACAAAGAACAAATAGAAACGGCAGTGCTTGTGAAGAGAACTTGAACTGCAAGTTAGGTGGATGCGAGTCTTGATGCTTCACGGTTGGTTTGTTCCAGCTTTTTCTTTCTGACTAGCTGTCATCCCTGGCATATTTTCCATTACACACTGCAAAAAGTGTGTGTGTTCAGCCTCTTGTGCTGAACTTGCGGCAGGGAGGACTTTCCTGCTGAAAATCTTGCTTTTACTGTCATCAACTGTTTATTCTTTTCCTGAGCTGTGCATATTTTGCCAGTTTAGATCAGTGTGAGCAATTTCAAAGTGTTTGTTTTGATTTAACCCAATCTTTCTGATGGCTCTTAGATGAGGGGAACTGTACCAGTGCTTTCAAGCACAAGCAGTAATACTGAGATTGCTTTACTTATGCTGGATATAAGTAAACCTTATTTGCTGTTTAAATAAAAAGTTAAAGAACTAAAAGTGCTTGAGAAGTCCAGAGGTGAGGCTTTCACTTCATAAGATTATGCCTCTTGTCTTGACCTTGTTGAAAAGGGTACATAGCGTTAGGGGTTCTTTCCCTACAAGAAGATGGAAAAAGGTGTCCTCTTTTTTTTTTTTTTTTTTTTTTCTTTCAGAAAAGGCTGCATGGGCCTTACTTCTTCCTTTTCTTGCAAAACTTCTGATTTGTTAGATCATGCTTCAGCAGATCCTTAAATTAAGCTCTCATGAGCTGCTTTCTTATGCAGTGGACTTACTAGGCTCGGGACATAGCTTGCCTGTTTGACACTAAGTGGCATGAGTAGAGTTAGCGTATGCAAGTTAAAATGTTTAGTTTTCTTCCTTGAAACAATAGTAGTAGTACTCTTGCATAAATACTTGCAATAAGGATAAGCTAAAAGTAATATTGCATACTTACAAATTAATTTTTATAAGGAAGTCATATATATATACACACACAGTATCAGGATTTAATAGGTCTTACTCAGTGATATGCTCATGCAGTGCTAGTTTCTGATGGCAGTGAACTGGGAACAAGGATTTATTCTATTCTTTTTCATCTATGAAATGCTGCTTGAAAGCTAGTAAATTTACAGTGGTAAATGATAACAGTGATGAATTAAACACTAGCATCTAGTACTTCTACAGTTCCTGTAAGACCAGTGAGCATGAAACCTCTATAGAATCAAGGTGCATGAAAAGTCGTACAGTAGGTAAATAATAATTCTGAAAGTTGCTATTTTACCAGTCTTAATAGGTTGGTTTGCAAGTAACTGTGCAGTCTACAGTCAATTTGGTCTAAGTGCTAAGCATAGCAGACTTGACTGAAGAGTGATTTTTTATTCTATTCTGTTTGCTGTCTGTAAATCTGTGTTTTTATCCGGCGTGTTTCATTAGAGGGCAGCATGGTGGAGAAATTTATTGAAGCAGGTTTACTATCAAGTATTTTGTTGACACGCAGCATGCTTTCCAAAAACTTTGACTATTTAATAAACGCGGTATGCTTTAGTTATGAAAATCTCAGTGGAAGAGGAGTGATGGAATAAGGGGAGAGTCTTCGCCCATTTAAAGGCAAATAGACTTGGTCAATGGAAGCCAGTCTATTGTAATAAACGATAAAAATAGCAGTTTAAGTAATTGGGGTGGCTTTGTTTCTGCTTGTGCTATTTAGCGTGAATATCAGAATCTTTCATACAGTGTTTGCCACAAACTACTCACATCTTCCAAGTGAGCAGGAGCTCCCAACATTGTTCAGACTATAAATGCAGCAGTTTGACATTTCCATTGTTGTGTAAGCCAAGTTTTCTAATTGAGTGTTTTGGTAATGTACCAAATGTAGTGAATCTTCTTTTTTCCTTTATAACGAGCTCTTACACACAGGTGATCTTTAAGGTGTTTCTCTTGTTGCAGAATGTACTGGTGCCTAGGTTTTTTTTAGGGGTGTCTGTATCATTGTGTAAAGCAGTTTTTACGTGGAAGGAAAAGAGTGAGTTTCCATGATGTGTCATATACTTGTACATCATGGAATTTTGTAGACTTAGTGTTTTGATTTCAGATTTCATAACTTTATGATGGTTGCTTGTGTACCCTGATCTTGACTTAGATACTGCAGATCATGGAATTTCTTTTTTAGAGAGTCACTCAGGTTGGAAGGCCAGCTCTGGAGACTGGCTGATCCAAATCTTTTTGTAGAGGAGGGTCTACTCTAGCAGTTTGCTCAGGACCTTGCCTAGCTGAGTTCTGAATTTCTTCGGGATGGAGACTGTGCAGGTGCTCTGAGTAATTTGTCTGGTGTTTAAGCATACCTGTAACAAAAAGATTTTCCTTACGTTAAAGTGGAATTTCCTGTATTTCAGTTGGTGCCTGTTGCCTCTTGTCCTCTTGTGGGCTATCAGGGAAAAGAATCTGACTCTCTTCATCTTCGCTCACTTTTGTTAAGGTGTAAGACCCTTTGAGTCTTCTTGTTTCAAGGCACAGCAGTTCCAGCTCTCAGTCACTCTGTGTTCAACAGCTGTATCAATCTTTTCTTCATCTTTGTGGTCATTTGCTGGACTCTCTCCAGTATGTCAGTGTCTGTTTTGTACTGGACAGCCTAGAGCTGAATGCAGCACTCTCGGTAAGGTGTCACCAGTGGGGAAGGACCACCTGCCTCCACCTGCTGGTAACATTCTTCCTAGCTGTTGGCCTTTACTGCTAGGGCACATTGCTGGCTTACGTTCAACTTAATTTCCACCACAAACCTCAGGTTTTTTTTCTCATCAAAGATGTTTTCCAGCTGGTTGTCTCCAGTGTGTACTGGTGCCTGGAATTATTCCTCTGCAGGTGCAAGATTTTGCATTTTTCTTCGGACTTTGGGGTTCTTTCTTCAAAATTGCCTGCCTATGTCTCTGTGAGTTTCCTCTGAGTGAAACAGCCCTGTGCTATGTACTGGTTTTGTACGTCTGCAGGCTTGGTGAGGGACGAACTCAGTCCCATCATCCAGGTCATGAATGAAGATGATAAACTGTGTTGGCCCCTGTATTGATCAGTGGGGCTTTCTGCTAGTGATTGGCTTCCAGATGGAGTTTGTGCTGCTAATCACAACTCTTGGAACACAGTTGGTTCAGCCTACTGAATCAGTCCTCCTCAATGTCCAGTTATCTAGGCTGTGCTTCATGGGTTAGTATATGAAGATGTTATGGGAGACAGTGTCAAAAGCCTTACTTTCTTGTTTTCCAGGTGCTTTTGGAAGACCTAATAGAAGTCGGCATACGCAGGATCATTTTGGAGGGTATTCTGGGGGTAGAGGTAGGTTTAGATGGTTAAAATTTGTTGTTTTGGGAGTGATTAAGCCTTCCTTTTGGATAAAACATTTAGAATGGAGGATATTGCAACTGGTGTCTGAGTCTGGAAACTCAGATTTTACTGGGTTGGTAGCAGTACTGTTGCTGAGTGGTGCTATTCTTCATAGAAAACAGTAGTTGCACCTGTCCTAATCTTTGTAATTTTGATACACTGTCTTATAAAACAGCACCTTTGTCATGTGGTTGGGTTTTTTGTTGTGTAGGAGCTAGGCTACAGGTCCAAGTTCCCTTTCAGCCTGAATGATTCTGTAATTTTACTGTTGAGTTTAAAAAACCAAGCATACTCCAGCAAGCCTATCTTAAAGTCAAATATAGCTTTGGATGTAGGTTTGGACGTTGATTCTTTTTTCTAATTATAGGTAGTGATGAATCTATGAACAGATGGTGTCATCCAGTGAATACATTTGGTAGCAGAAGGGATTTTGCCAACAGAGGTAACTTTCCAGAGTGCCTGTAATTCTAATGGCTAGTTGTATTTGACAGATTAAATTTTTCCTGTGGAGGTACTCAGTTCTGTTGTATCAGAGTCAGGTAAGTATTTTATGAGTTGGAAAATCATATTTCCTGGGTTACCACTCAGTATTTTTCTGCATAATGTAGGCATTCAGTATCACCTCTTAGTTTTGACTGCATAATATCACCACACTTGCTAGAAGGCAGGACTCAGCATTGTTTTGTTTACTTCTTGTTTTGCTTCCATTTTTCTTGGGGAAGTGTATTGTTCTAATAATTCCGTTGAGTCATAACGTAATATAAAAGGCAGCTGAACATTAGTATCCATATATATATGCTATGCGAGGGAGTGTACAAGTGCTCTCCAGAGGAAGATTTCAAAGCTTTCTTCAGGTTCCATAAAGCAGTATTTAATACCTGTGCTCTTACTGCCTATAATGTCAAGTGCCACTCTGGTATGCAGTGCACATTGAAGAGCTTAGTAATTGGCAGTGCGGCTGTATTGCTGTATATGCTTCCACCAAGTATTATGGGAAGCACATGGGGCAGTGGAAGCTGCTGCCACTTAGCATGTGTCCAGATCGTTCAGTGGCTGTAAGTGGGACAGGTTATGAAACAAGGGAGATAGAAACTGATACAGGCAAAAAATACTTCACTTTTGCATATGTTTAGACAAATCACTTAGTTCTATCGTACTTTTAATCTGAATTCATAAAACCAGGGTTGTAAGGAGTAATTGCCAGAAAAAAGGCATTTGATCTGCACATGTAAAAATGGGCAAATGAATTTGCTGTGTACTGTGCTGTACTGCAGGTTTTCAAGAAAGGAACGCTGTAGAAAATCCCATTACACAAAGTAGAGGTTTTGGAAGATGTCCTGGTGGCCTTGGACGACGTGAGGGTAAGGTTTTTATTTTTTTTTTGCTGACTGATCTGTGTGGCAACAACATATAAGCAAGGTTTGCTTGCTTCTTGAAACAAGTATAAAGGTGGAAGCTATGTAGAAGCTTCTGTTCTTCAGCAGTGTTGTAGAACATGTATGGCATATTCAAAAAATAATGTTACTGGGAATAATATAGCATGGATTAGATTTGCAAAGAAAAAGCTTGTTTAAGTTTTTGCAATGTAGAGATTTTTAAGTAAATGATAATTAGCTTTAGGCATAGTATTGTGCTAATTCTAGACACTGTATACACTACACTGTTTATTACTTATAGGTATTAAAGATGAGCAAAGAGAAAGACCTCAGTCTGGCACTTTCTTTAGCTCTGCAGGAAGAGGAGCATTTGGAGGTGCAGGTGAGACTTTTTAGTAGGGTGGTAAATATGTCAAATTTCCTCACTGCAGATTTTGTGGCAATGCAGTACTTCCTTAGCTTTGCTAAATGCTGACTCTGCGATTGTTCTCCCTGTCTGAATTAAGAGCATCTTGCAGGTGTTAGGTAGCTTGCACGCCTGCACACACAAGACAAATTTGTAACTTGGATGAATTTTAGAAATTGGATTTTCAAAGCTGTTGTCTCCTACAATTTTTTTTTTTTTTTACCTTGGTCCTACTGCTGCTGGGTCAGTTAATGCACAGCGAAGCAGAGCTGCTAACCCCAAAATACGAAGCAGGTCTTTAAGTAAACGCTCTCAGTTTTAAAATAGTCACTCTAAACTTTTTCTGCCCCTCCTATAAAGGGAAGTGGTTTATGTTTGTCCGGGTTACTTTACTGAGAATAAGGGTTTTAGCTCTTGAGAGACCAGCTCCTTCTGATGACATTATTTTAATGTTTTGGGGTTTTTGCTGTCCACAAAGGAATTTCCCCCTCATTGTCTTCCTTTGCTGCTGATGTTACTGTAACTTGTAATTCATCTATTGTGCTGCTTAGTGCGTAGTAGTCTATTACTTGCAGAAGTCCCAGAGTTAAAATTAGAAATACCATTAAACCAGTTTCACAAGTAGTGCATGGCTGATAGTCTAAATGTAGGAACAGTTTGTATGATACTGGTAAATATTTTTTCATTGTAGTAAAGATAGAATGATAAGTGTACATTTTCAGAAGTGTTCTTTAACATCCAGAGAATAATTGGTTTGCCTCTGTTTGACTTAGTTCAAATTAAGTTTTTTAAATTTTTAGTTCAAATAATGATGTTCAGAAGTGTTAAGTGTTTATAAAGGCAACATGTTAATATTCATAGCAGATGTAACTACGTCCTTAATGCAGTATAGGAATTCCTTTCGTACAGTCATTGTATGAAGTAGTGGTATTTGAAGACTGTTATGGATGTTGGTTGGCAACAGTTGAACTAGTCTGTGGAGATACTAATGTGGAAAGATAATTCTTCATAAAGAGGTGTTTGTTACATGGGAACTGTTTTGTTTTATAGTAAGAGGTATGTCTGTATCTAGCAAAGGAACAGAGTGGGCGCTGCTAGGTTGTTGTGCTGCCTCCATTTCTGGATAGTGTTCTTGTCGGTCTGACGGAATTTGTAGAGGTAGCAAAGGTAGGGCTGTGTTGGGCTTTCTTAAAACAGTTATGCTTTTTGTAATTAGAGGTAATCGTGTAAGCGTCTTCTGATAGAAAAACAAATATTTTAAAGTGATTACATGCACTGTGTGTTGCATCTTTACTCAGATTCTCTGTTACTGTCCCGATGAAACTGCGGTTTTATAGAGTTGCTTAAGTTCTTAGATATTCTCTCAAATGAGTTTTATTCCTATAAGTAATAATCTGTGGAATGCTTTCTTTTAACAGCAGCTTCCAAAGAACACAGTGAAGAAATAGGATCTGGAAGAGGTGAGTAGCTTCCTCACAAGTGACATGCCAGTTTTAATTTCTTTTCAACTCGAGGAACATTCTATTACAGGAAGCTGCTGAAAGTGATTAGGTAAAGAAGGTAGTGATATGGGTAAATGCAAAACATCGTAAAACTTTTCATGTAACATTAAACTTTGTATGTTGAAAATTCATTCATCTTTAGATTACTGGAGACCATAGTGGTGGTTGTCACCTAAAGAATGACTTAACATTTTGGAATGGAGTGCTGTAGAATTCCTTTATGCTGGCTGTTCTTTCCTCATAGTGGTAAAGCTTCTATACCTGAGACACAAGTGTTAGAGAACTTAATTGGCAGTGGTATAGGAATCTGAGTGATGATAGTCATTAAAACAAACCACAAAGGAACAGTAGATTCTTAGTTTCAGATGCTGTTTCTGGAAAACAGGCTCCACGTGTTTTACTGAGTAGAAGTTAGTAAACAGAATTTCATGATCTGCGAGTGCAGGAGATCAGGTTCCAGTGTGTGATAAATGACTTCGGCATGTATTGAAAGCCTCAGCTGGGACAATCTGTTAAACGTTTACTTGCCTGCGGCGTTTTTTGCAAATGACTTTACCCTTATTTTGCCTTTCTCTTACTCCTGAGATAAAAAAAGACTAATAGTGAACTTCTGATTTCGTATAAATAATTTTGGTTCCTTAGCCCTCCTCATTTGAGATCCCTGTGATTGTGAGCATCAAATAATTAACTTTTGTTGTGGTTTAAGCCCACACTTCAACCCAGAACCACGCAGAAGCAAATTTACTTCCTGCTCTTCCTCCCCCCTGTAACTCCCACAGGTTAAGATAAAAACAGTCCAGTAACTAAGGTATAACACAAAACCACTACTGCTGCCACCAATAATGATGGCTTGACTTTGCGAATGAAGAGTTGGGAAGGGTTTTACCCATGCCTACTACAACCGTGCTGATGACTAAAAAGGCCAATGTGGGACAGGCAAATCCGGTTGCAAAAAGCACAGTGAAAGGTCTCTTTCGGTGGTATAGGCAAGGCATGATTCTTTCTATGTTGTCTTTTCTCCTTGAGATTGATTCTGCGTGTGCTCTCAAAAGGAGACAACAGCGTTATATAGGTGTGTCTCCAAGTCTTCCAATTGGAGGCCAAGGTGGATCACTGATGGTAGTCAGCATGGCCAAGGCTGAAGTACTGTTTCAGGGAGTCTTATATATCCTCTTTAGGGCACTTCTCTTGTGGCAGCCAGTGGTGAGTTCACTGTAAAACACAGTCTTAGGGAGGTGGTGATCCTTCATCCTACAGATATGTCCTGCCCAGCACATCTGTGATTTCAGCAGTACAGCCTTGACACTGGTGATCCCTGCCTGTGCAAGGACACTAACATTTGACACGTAGTGCAGTGAATGTTTGGAATTGTACGGAGGCAGCGCTGATGGAAGTGTTCGAGGAGTCGCAGGTGATTGTGGTAGATAACCCATGTTTTAGACCCATATAAAAGAGTAGACAGTACAATGGCTTTATAAACACTAATCTTTGTACTTCAGGTGTTTATTGCACCAGATTCTTTTCTGGAAATTTCCAAAGGTTCTGTGTACCTTTGCTATTCTGTTATCTACCTCTTTGTTGATTGTGGCATTCGAGAAAGTAATGCTTCCCAGATAGCTGAACTGCTGAACTGACTTAAGCTCTGACTCACCAACGGTAACGTGGGGATGATGGTAATCTTGTGGTGCAGGTTGGTAGAGAACTACTGTCTTCTTCAAGCTGACTTCCAGCCCCAAAAGCTCGGCTGCCCTCCGCAAAGCAAGATGTTAAACACTGCAGAGCTGCTTCTGTGTGGGCAGCAAGGGCGGCATCGTCAGCAAAAAGCAGCTCATGGACAAGGTGATTTAGGGTCTTAGTGTGGGCCTTCAGTCGCCTTAGAACTGAACAGGCTCCCATCAAATATATTGAATATAAATGCCGTTTTGTTTGTTGAGGTCTACCGTAGCCCTTTGGAGCATCATCCTGAAGAAGACTGTGGATAAAGTTGGTGCGAGAACGCAACCTTGTTTCACACCATTGGTTATTGGGAAGGGCTCAGAGAGTGCATCGCCATATCTGACTTGGCCTTGCTAATCCTCATGTAACAGAATAATAATTTTGAGGAACTTTGAGGGGAACAACCTAATTGTTCCAAGATCAGCCACAGGCCTTTTCTGCTTGCTGTGTCAGAAGCTTTGGTGAGGTCAGCCAAAGTTACATAAAGCCCCTTATTCTGTTCTCTACACTTCGCTTGCAGTTGTCTGAGAACAAACAGGATGTCTGTGGTACTTCTGTTATCTCTGAAACCACATTGACTTTCAGGTAGAAGTAGTTCTGCGATAGTGGGTACTAATCTGTTCAATAGTATTCTTGCAAGGATTTTTCTAGCCATGGAGAGCAGACTTACACCTTGATAGCTTGAGCAGTCTGACTTCACACCTTTTATCTTATACAGAGTGATGATGATTGCATTCTGAAAATCTGATGGTAATTTGTCTTGTTCCCAACAGCGCACAATTTGTGAAATTTAGCATGAAATGCTTGGCCTCCATGCTTCCAGTTTTCGGGTGGGATTCTGTCTACCCCAGCTGCCTTGCCAGTTTTCTCTTGCTGTATAGCCTTAAGAGTCTCTCCCATGGTAGGGTCTATATCCAATTCATTTTTCACCGGATGTTGTAAAATGTGCTGGATTCCTGCGCCTTGGACTACACGGTTAGCACTAAAGAATATTTGAAAATGTTCAGACCAATGATTCAGGATGGAGATTTTATCTGTAAGAAGCATTTGGCCATCTGCACTAAGTAAGGGGCTTTGAACCTGGTGTGTGGGTCCATACACTGCTTTCAGAGCCTCATAGAATCCTCTGTGATCACCCAAATCTGTGCGTAGTTGAGTCTATTCTGCTAGGTTTAGCCACCAGTAGTTCTGGATGTCTCAAAGTTTCTGTTGGAGTTTACTGCATGCAAGATGAAAGGCTGCTTTTCTCACATGGCAAAATGGCTGAACGAGGTGGGCTTGATGGGCAGATCTCGTCTTTGTCAGCAAGTCCTGGACCTCCTGATCGTTATTGTCAAACCAGTCTTTGTTTTCCTTTAAGGAGGACCCAAAGGATTCTTCAGAGGAACGCAGGGTGCTATTTTTAATATGTTGCCAAAGCGCTTCAGGAGAAGAATCTATAAGGTGGCCTTCAAGCCTGGTTTGAAGGTTAGCCTGAAAGATGTCCCTCACTCTGGCTATTTGAAGTTTAACTTTGAGCCTCCTTCTGGGAGTGCCGCGTCTCTTCAGTTTGGGCTTAAAGTGGAGGTTAAGTTTGCAACACACTAGGCAGTGGTCTGTTTAACATTCTGCACTAGGCATCACTCGGGTGTAACAGGCATTGTGAACATTTCTCTGGTGCATCAAGACATAATCAGTAAGATGCCAGTGTTTAGATCGAGGATGCGTCGAGGTTGTCTTCATCAGGCTGTGTTTCTGCTGGAAAATAGTATTGGTGATGGTAAACTGTTGCTCTGCACAAAACTAGCAAGAGGTGTCCGTTATTGCAGCTACCAACACTGTGCTTGCCTGGTACTCCTTTCCATGCTTCAAAGCTCTTAACCTACTCAGTCGTTGAAGTCACCAAGTGTTACCATCTTATCATCTATAGGAACCTTTTGAGCGAGGTGACGCAGATCGGTGTAGAATTTGTCTTCTTCTGCATGGTCAGCTTGCAGAGTTGGAGCGTATATGCTGAAAAGAACATGTTGCTTATTGCGTAGTGGAAGACATAAGGAGATAATACAATTGAAATGACCTATTGGCAGATTTTCAAGTTTAGAGACGATGGAGTTTTTAATCATGAAGCCAACTCCAGAAAGATGACTTTCAGTTTTGGATTCGCCGGACCAGTAAGCAGAGTGTATAGCTGGCACCATGTTCTATAAGGCTACCTGCCTCATGAAGGCGAACTTCACTGGGAGCAGCAATGTTGATGTCGAGTCGTAACAGTTCATGGGGAATTAGTGCAGCACAGTGCTCAGGATGCCCACTGTTCGCTGTATCAGGCGTGGTTCTGATGTTCCAACATGCCAGTGTCAATCTGGACACACCTTTGGAGGCAGGTGTATGCCTTTGTCTCTTTGTCTTTGATCAACTGCAACAGAAGTTGCCTGTTGGCCGCTGCTAGCCAGCCAGGTGAAGGGGGAGATGAGCTTTGGTTAGGCCACCTTTTCTAGGCCTCTATCCATATGGAGCAAGCAGTGCTGTCCTCGAAAAAAGGCTGCTTGGTCATTTCAGGATGCTGCCGAACAAGACTCTCATCTCCTGGGTCAGTCTCGAGCGACCAATATCCTGAACAGCCTGCATGCAGGGTTGGGTCTGCAACTTCCAGTGCACCTTATCACCTGCTGTTTCATCCCTCGCCTGTCGCTACAGGGCTTTGAAGTATGAGTAGACCCTTTGGGCCTGTGCAGTGGATTTTTTAGGTGAGGCACAGCATGTGCAGAACTGGCCCCACCCTTTACACCTGAGGTTTATCTGCCAGGGTCTTGTGAGCTTGGATGGTGACAGCAAGGTCCTCAGGTCTTAGGTTCGGTTAGAGTGTCCTTCTCTTAGATGGATGGCCTTACAGGGCTAAACGACCTCCGTCTGCCCGGATTTGAAGTTGGAGTTGTCCTTCTCCTAGGATGGTTGCCTGAAGGCTGGTGAGCCCACCCTGCCCATGGACTTCGTCTGACCCTTCAGTTGAGAGCTGTCTGCATGGGAGACCCTACCAGAGGCATATGCCACCACCAGCATAACTCTCAACCTCACAGGGGCATGCAAGCTCTTTCCACACAACGGGGATGTCCATGAAAGAGACCACCAAGAATAATGATAAGGGAAATGACAAGGGAAGAGAACACAGCTGCTCACCACCCACGACTGATACCCAGCCCAACCTGGGTAGTGATCTAGCCCTTCTGGGTAACTGCCTCCAGTTTATGTACTGGGCATGACGTGCTGTTTGGATAGTTTTGGTCAGGTGGCCTGTCTCTGCTTCCTCGCAGCTTCCCCTCCTCCCAGGCAGAGCATGAGACTCAGAAGGTCCTTGGTCGGAGTAAACATTACTGAGCAACAACTAAAAACATGAGTGTTACCAGCGTTGTTCCCAGGCTGAAAATCAAAACCACAGCACTGCACCAGCTACTAAGAAGGAGAAAAATGACTGCTACTGCTGGACCCAGGGCAACTTTACACCTCTGAGACCTCTGAGTTGATTAGCTTGAAAAACACCTTAAGGAATCCAGAACTATAAATGTGCTGCCATGAACAGATTAATTTTATTCTTGTGTATTAATAAATGCATTGTTACTGAATTTGAGCTGAGCTTTGTAAGTAAGTGTTAGGTCTAGTAGTATAAATCTAAGTTCTAATAGAATTTCTGAAATTCCTTGACTTCTGAAAAGTGGAGAGAAGTCTAAATCATGTCTCACTGAACTTGAAGTATCTCCATACTTAAAATAGTTTTAATTCAGGTTTTCTGTATATTATTTGTGAACTTGAGTGGTTTTGTTCTTAAGGTCCAAAGGTGACTTACGTGCCCCCTCCTCCACCTGATGATGAACCAGCCATCTTTGCACGTTACCAGACAGGAATTAATTTTGACAAGTATGATGAAAATGTGGTTGAAGTGTCAGGACTTGACCCTCCAGCACCATTACTGGTTAGTGAACTCATTAATCTCTGGTTTATGTTGAATGTAATTCTGCGAGGGTGTATATTGAGTCTAATATTCACTACTAACGAAAATATTAAAAAAGATTTTGAATATTGCAGACAGCATTGTATTGGAAGGAGATGCTGCCTGTTTGCAAGACGGAAATTTTAATTTAAAAGGACGTTGACGGTACAGAAATGACCCAGAGAAAGTAATACTGAATGGACAGAAAGTATAGTCCTTAAATTGCAGGAAAAGACCAGTTTAGATCTTGAAAGAGGCCTTTGGCAGCTGTCAGGGCTGGTAGGGTTATCTTGTTGAAGCCTGTTACTGGGGGTCTTTAACACTGTAAATAACCACCTGTTGGAATAGTTTTTAGCAGGTGGTTTGAAGTAATTTCTAGCCCTGTTTTGGGGGCCACTGTCTATTGTTTTAAGTTTTGTATTAACTTTTCTTCTACTCCATACCAGTTGGCTAGTTTTTTGATTAAAAATAAGGAGGGTGGGGTAGGAAATAAAAGCTTTTTTTAAGGAGAACAATAAGGAAGAAGGGTGGGGGATGGTATCACCTGTGTTGCAAGAGAAGATGCAGAGTGTTGGTTTTGGATTCCCCCCCCCCCCATCCATCTTCTGAAAAGTTTTCTCACTGAAATTACACTGATTTTTGTCATGTTACAATGCTTTTTGATCCTGGTAATGGGAGCTAGAGCACCATCCTTATCTGGCTTTAGCATAGAGATTAAGTGTGTATCCTACATGAAGTAGAACTGAAGAGTTTTAGTTTGTTTTCCTAGCATGCCATTATGCGAGTTTACCTGCTTGAATCCAGATGTATGGCTTCTGAGCAGCTTTCTGTCAAAGCTAGTAAGACTAGCTGAATGCCTTTACTGTCCTTCAGACAAGTTCACTTGCTTGACATGAGCAGGTTGAAAAACCCTCTTAGACTTTTGCCTGTCGGAACATTTGCAATCTAGATAACTGGTGAGGCCCTCTCAGAAGTTAATACTTTCTAGTATTTGGAAATCTGAACCCTATGGTAAGCAGTGGAGTTTTTAAAACTTTCAACTTTTGTCATTGTGTATTGCTAATACTTTTTTTCTCTTACAGACTTTTGAAGAAGCTAACCTCTGTCCCACGTTAAATGTGAACATTGCTAAAGCTGGGTACTCTAAGCTTACTCCAGTGCAGAAGTACAGCATTCCTATTATACTAGCAGGACGGGATTTAATGGCATGTGCCCAGACAGGATCAGGAAAAACTGTAAGCATTTTGTGTAGAATTGATACCACTGAAAGTGTGGGACCTTGACGATGCCTCAGTGTTCCATGTGCGACATGATTCACATCTTTCCATCTAAGGGTTTGACTTGCAGTGGCAAGTCTAGCATTAAGTACAGATGAATGGTGGATGAGTTGAAGCATTTTTGGCTAATTTCTTTTTAATTTCAGTGAACTTGTTACTTGTCTTGTTACAGCAGGCCAGTCTTCAGGGCTACAGATACAGATGCAGAAATCTTGCTCATAGAAACAGGCACTCATAGAAACAGCTGATGAGGAAAAAACCTCAGCAGTTGGAAAGTTGGGGTTTCTTTCTGCCTTGTGTGGGCTTTTATCTGGTGTTTGGTTGGTTTTTGTTGTGTGTGTTGGTATGTATATGCTGTGTGTTCTGCTTTTGTTTCTGATTTTAAACTTAAACCAGATTGTAATGGTATGTTGTGTTGGTTCAGCATCCTTGGTTTGATCGAGTCTTATCTGCACCAGACTTAGTTTTAGGTGATTCAGTATTAATCATGGAACAGTGTTGAGAGTTGATAGTAAGTTGACAGTTGTCTCAACTTGTTAGGCTGTCTAATGTGCCCAAACCTAACCACTGACAACTATCTATGAGAATATTTGAATGTTAAATATAGGACTTTTTTGCCATTCATTATAATATCGAATTCTGGCTTTGATTCTATGTGGGTTATTAGTCACTTTGAAAAAGTATTTTTTTTATTTTGAAAATCCTCTGTTTTGAGAAGGGGAAATGTTCAAAGGTTATGCTGTAAGTATTCTGGATGTTTTTGGAATTGCTCTGCAAGTCTTGATAGTCTTAATGGAAGGAAGTGTGCTGGTGCAGATGCATTGCAAAATGATCTGCTTTTGTTGTAGCTAGGAAAATGGTGATACATGGTTTACCTTAAAAATCTACTGATGTTATAAAGCATGTAAGGTAATGCTAAGGAAGGGTTTGATCCTGAGGTACCTAGTTATCAGTGTATGTCAGCATGATGTGTGGAACTGCCTGAAGAGCACAGAAGTTAGCTAATGCATGACTGTGTTCCTGCGTTATTAGATAGTAGACTCGTTGTCCAGAGAGGTATTTTCATACATCATAACCAAGGAGAAAGAAGCTTAAATGTTCTGAAGTGCATTCACGTCAATCCTTCTGCAGTCTGATTTCCTTGAAGGTGGTGGTGCCTTTATCATTTAGGCTTTAAGATTGGTATACAGCTTTTGACTGGTGAAAGTTTTAAGACTAAACTTCATAAATGCTGCAATTCTTTTTTTTTTTTTTTTTTTTTTAGGCAGCTTTTCTTTTACCAATTGTGGCCCACATGATGAGAAATGGCATAACTGCCACCAGCTTTAAAGAGCAGCAAGAGCCGGAATGTGTTATTGTCGCTCCAACTAGAGAGCTGATAAATCAGATCTTTCTAGAAGCAAGGAAATTTGTGTATGGGTAAGCTTTTGCACTGTTACCTGGTATTGATCATTATGTTCCAGTTCTTGTAGTTTCAGGCAGAAATTTCAGAGCTCAGGCAAGCTCTTTTAGCTCCACTTCTTCAAAAAGAACAAAAGGTCTATAAACTTGTCATTGAGCCCTTGAATGTTGTGTCAGAACATATTTTTACTAGTTCCCCAATGATCCTGAGATGTTAGTTTTACGAGTGAACAGGGAGAAAATTAAATGTATTGTCTAAAGGCTTGTTTCTGTTAGGAGGTGGAATGGAAAACATTGCCTGAGCAAAATCTATTGGGCTAAATTAGAATTGCCTTTGCTTATTAAGGCAAACAGGCTTGGCGGCTGTCCCTGTCTTTTGAAAGTACCGTAATAGTTGCTTATTGATGTAAGCACGTTACTAAGAAAAGCTTCTTCATCTTTCAAAACTATTTTACTTAGTTCTATTAATTATGCTATTTTAAACTGTAGATACAAATTACTTCACAATAAAATAGCTTCTGAATTCTAAAAGTTTCTCCTGCAGCTGCCCTGCAGTAAAAGCAAGACAACCTACATTTTGGGGACAGTTAAGCAGTATCAGGGTGTGAATCTGTTCCTGCTAAAGAATTGTATGCATATTGCTCAGTCCAGCCTGCTTCTATTCTTGACTAAAGCTTTCTGAAAAGTTTCCTGGTAAAAAATAACCCGGTTTATATGAAGCTGAATTAGTACCTTCAAGAATAGGCAGTTTGAATTTGAGTGTGAAAATACTTACTGCATGCATGTAAAAACCTCAGCAGGAGGTTATAAAGGTAAGCTTACAAACTTGCTCTTCTGTGTAAGGCAGTCCTTGCTCATAGACTGTTTCTGTTGGAGAAAATACCTGATATAGCTCTACTCTGTAGATTGAACCAAACAGGCTATTAGGAAGAGCACTAGGTGGTTTAAGAGTGGGTTTGCACTCTGATGCATGAGTGGCACACTGGATTGTCAGTATGATTAGTTGCTTTACAAAGAGCCATCTGTGTGTTTTTTATTTTTTACACTGTCAGGTATGGAAGGATTTCTTCTGAAACTCTGAAGGCATGTATTTCATGGTTCTGTTTTTCTAAGTGTGCTGTATGAAAGAAGAGAGTGTGTGACACCATTGTGTCACTTATCACCAGTAACTGAGTTGAAGGGAGAGGGATGAAAGCTGATGAAGCATTCTTTCCAGACAAGCCACTTGTGCAGCCTCTATTAAAATAGTTTGAATGGGATCTTTGAGCTTATGGTGACTGAGTTTTTAGTCGTGGGTCCTGCTTTTGGTTATAGGCTGCGCTGACAGGTGAAGGAATTTAACTGCACAAAGTAACCTGGTTTACGGTAGATCTGGTGGGGGTTCTTTATGTATTGTCATGAAACTACAGTTTGCATTAATCCAATTTTTTTTTTTCTGTTTTACAGAACTTGTATAAGGCCTGTTGTGGTCTATGGAGGTACACAAACAAGCCATTCAATCCGTCAGATAATGCAAGGCTGTAATATACTGTGTGCCACTCCAGGAAGGCTTCTAGACATAATTGCAAGACAGAAGGTGAGATCTTAATCTGAATTCCCTAAACATGCTTAGCTTTTTACTTACTGTTTTTCATTTTTCAAAGATAGACCAGTTTGAATGCCCCCTTTGTACAGGCATTTATGAAAGTAAAAGTGAGCTTTTCATGGAGTATCTAAACACCATGAGGTTTTCAAAGGAGTTGCGTGAGTCCAGATGTCTTCAGTACCTTTCAGGGCCCATTGGAAAATCTCAGTCTAAAACAAGCTGGCTGCAGTGTTCTTGTAAATGAACTTGGAACACTTTTTAGTTCTTGTGGAAAATTCCATACTAGGTTTTCACTTGATGTCCTGTTCGTTTTGCTAGAATAGCTTTTATCTGCTTGGGAATATGCTGATACTGATTCTTTGAATGTTTTAGTATTGATTTTATTCATATGTAAAATTCAGATGTAATGCTGTGTTTGTTTGGGTTTTTTTTATATTTTTCCAGCCATTTTAAGTTAAAATCAAAATGGCTGTATATTAGAATGGTGGCTTAGTGTTTTTACAGTGGATAAATTAAGTTTGGCAAAACACTTGGTAATAAGCTGGAAGTTGGCTTCTGTGTTGACAGGTTTCTAGTAGTCAGAATGACAGTCTTGGTCAGAAACAAGAAGTTGTAATGTCTTAATACTTCCTGACATTTTTTCAAAACAAGGAGGTTATATGAGACAACCTTTTTGAAGCTCAGACATAATTTCAAAATAGATGTGGTGATTAATAGGTAATACATAGGCTCTATCTTGGTTTACTTCACAGAAACAAGTTCTGAAGTACTTCAGTGTCTGCATACTATTAGAGTTAGTTCAGATTAAGAAAGAAATGAAAGTTGAGATGCAGATATAACGCAATATGCTTTTATTTAAGGATAAAGTGGTGGATAAAGAATTGGCTGGATGGCCACACATAAAAAGTTGTGGTCAATGGCTCAGTGTCCAGTTGGAGACCAGTAACAAGTGGTGTCCCTCAAGGGTCGGTTTTGGAACCAATCCTGTTCAGTATCTTTGTCGGCGACATGGACAGTGGGATTGAGTTCCGCCCTCAGCAAGTTTGTTGGTGACACCAACCTGTGTGGTTCAGTTGATACATTGGAGGGAAGGGATGCCATCCAGAGGGACCTTGACAGGCTTGAGAAGTGGGCAGTGCCAATTTCATGAAGTTCAACCAAGCTGTGTCAGGACAATCCCAGGCACAACTACAGGCTGGGCAGAGAAGAGGAGATTCAGAGCAGCCCTTAGGAGAAGGGCTTGGGGGTATTGGCTGATGAGAAACAGAACATGAGCCGGATTCAGTGTGTGCTCACAGCTGAGAAAGCCAAACATATATTGGGCTGCATCAAAAGGAGTATGACCAGCAGGTCGAAGGAGGTGATCCTGCCCCTCTACTCTGCTCTCATGAGACCTCACTTGGAGTATTTTGTGCAGTTCTGGTGTCCTCAACATAAAAAGGACATGGAAGTGTTGGAACAAGTCCAGAGGAGGGGCACAAGGATGATAAGGGGGCAGGATCACTTCATGTATAATGACAGGCTGAGAAGGTTGGGCCTGGAGAAGAGAAGGCTGTGTGGAGACCTCATAGCAGCCTTCCAGTATCTGAAGGGGTCCTATAAGGATCATGGAGAGGGCCTCTTCATTAGGGACTGTAGAGTTAGGGTAACAGGTAATGGGCTCAAACTTAAAGAAGGGAAGTTCAGGTTAGATACAAGGAAGAAGCTCATTGTGTGAGGGTGGTGAGGCACTGGCACAGGTTGCCCAGGGAAGTTGTGAATGCTCCATCCCTGGCAGTGTTCAAGGCCAGGCTGGATGGAGTCTTGGGTCATGGTTTAGTGTGTGGTGTCCCTGCACAGTGCAGGGGGGTTGGAACTAGTCTTAAGGTCCTTTCCAACCTTAACTATTCTATGATTCTATAATTAACCTCTACTAGAAATCTACTAGAAAGAAGTAATTAAAGGGTGGATTTTGGCAATAAGGATATTGTATAATTATATACTGTCAGTAAACCAATACAGTTTTTTTTCCACTGAAATACTTGCAGATTGCTTTGCATAACGTGAAATACTTGGTGCTAGATGAAGCAGACCGCATGCTTGATATGGGTTTTGGGGTAGATATAAAGAAGCTGGTTTCTCTCCCAAGCATGCCACCAAAAGAGAAACGTCAAACACTAATGTTTAGTGCCACTTTTCCTGAAGAAGTTCAGAGGTGAGTGAAGTAAAAATGGAACTATATCTGAAGTTGTGTAGGATGAAATCTGAAGAGTTAAGAGCACTCCTTGTATTTAAAAGCTTACAGTCTTGCTAGAAGAAAGCACTGAAAAGCTATGATGTTAACATCCCTGCTGAAGAATTCGTGTTTTTTTTTTCCTTTAAGTAACAGAACTAATAACTTACATAGATTAGCTGCTTAATTTAGGAGACGACTCCGAAGAAACTTAGTTTGTCTGAAGGCTTTTAAATTCTACTTCTGCAGAAGTCCTTGGGCTGCCCCTGTTTCTTTCTTGCCCTTCCCACACTATATAACTCAAAACCAGTGATGTTACTGTTTCATGAGCAGCACTGCTAGTGCTCTTTGACACCAGGACATAATGTAACTAGGCACCCTAATTACTGTCTATCTTGCCATCCTTTTCGATATACAGTTCTTACTTACATGCATAAATGCTATTTGCTTAATGGTTTTAAAATTTTCACAGGTGGTTTATGATGTATCTTACAGCTGTAGTGCTCGCTACCCTGAAAACTCCACTTCCCAGGCTCTTTGAAAGAACGGTTTCTGACAGATTTAGTGGGTTGCAGGGCCTGGGAGTAACAGTACAAAACAGCTCAGTCCCTACATCCCTACAGGTGGATGAAAATTATTCAGTATTTCCACTGCTTAAGAGATAGGCATCTGAATACTCTTATCAGAGGAGTTTAAACTCCAGTTTTAGCAATTGACATAATATTGTGTGTTTTGTGGAAGGGATGCTGCTGCGGCAGTATCACCAAGAAATGCCAGTAAGCATATTACAGTTTGAGAGCATGTAAACTGATCAGACCATTACAATGAAGTATTTTGGCATTTCAGTGAGTCACGTCCTAGCATTTTTCTTCTGGCCTTCAAAAAGTCTAAAAGATCTTTTCTGAGGCTTGGAGAAAACAAGTTCAGTAGCTGACTGTCTTGAATGGAAGAATGGAATGGGCTGCTTTCCTCCATTCAATCTGTTAATACTGACAGCTGTTGGGGAGATTAATTGCCTTTCTTTAAGTAGGATTGAATTCACTTTAAACTCAGTCTTAAGTCACCTGTTGTGTCTTTGGGTCCTCAGCCAAGACTTTATTAACAGTTGGGTTGTTTTGTCTTGAAAGAAGATCTTGTGATACGTAACAGATTTCATGTTGCTCAATTTTGTTTCTTTTCAAGGCTGGCTGCTGAATTTTTGAAGCGTGATTATTTATTTGTTGTTGTTGGGCATGTGGGTGGAGCTTGCAGTGATGTTCAGCAAAATGTTCTTCAGGTTCCTCAGTATTCCAAGAGGGATAAACTGATAGAAATTCTGCAAAGCATAGGTAACTTTTCCTTATTGCTAATTGTTTGTTCTTAAACTTGTGCTCTTTCTGTTGACCAGGTCATGATTCTCTGCTGTTACACATGTTACATGCTTTACAGGTCTTACTGATGGAAGCTTGCAGCAGACTATGGGGGTGTCTGAGTTTTTAGATATATTTGTTTTATGGTTATTTGTCAAGGTCTCATATCTGTTGTGTACTAGCAGACAAGCTTCCCAGATGATTAGTTTCTTCATATGGTGAATTATAGTACTTCAGCATCTGGAGGTATTATCTCAACATTATAGATGTATTTCACATCTTATGTGAACTTTCTGGCCTACATTTTGTTAATGGCTGGGGTTGTTCTGTTTTTGGTCTGGACATATCTTAGGTTCCCATGCTGAGAACTGGAAGGAAGTTTGAAATTAAAAGTCTGTCTGCCTTCATGGTCAGTGCTTAGAATGGCATGTTGCTTTTAGCCACATGCTGAAAAAAGGGAGTGCGTGTTCATCATGGAGAACAATATGTGTGTCCTCCTTTATAGGGGAGAAAAATACAGTGCACTTGTCTTCACCTAGGTGTCTGTGTTGATCTCAAAATTGATGGATTAAATTTAATTAGTTCAGCACGGGCAAGAATTTGCAGTCATGCCTTAAGGACTTTACTCAAAATGTGTTCTGGTAGTATGTGTTTGTATAAGTAATTAACTGTCAATAGTGAAAATGCATCTGGTTTCAAACTGCAGTGAATCTGAACTTCTGTTTAACGTAGGTCATGAGCGAACCATGGTGTTCGTGGACAAAAAAAAAAAAGCAGACTACATTGCCGCCTTTCTTTGTCAAGAAAAAATAGCTGCTACTAGCATCCATGGGTAAGTGTTTTTAAAGTGAAAGTCACTTGCTAACACATCTTACCAGAAGCTTTAATTGAGATTTGTGTTTGGCTCTATCTGTGCAGTTCAGCTTGTTTCAGGTAGCCTTCTTATCCTTAGCAGGTCTGCCCAGATGAGAATACAGTGTTTCTGAAGGCCAGTTCTCATAGCATTTGCTGTGTATATGCTTTCCAGGTTGATCAGATTTTCAGTGCTGTGTATGAACTGGAGAATCTTATGCTTACTGCTTAAGACTAAAATATAATTAACTCAGTAGAATCAGCTTTTGTTTATATATAGTTTTTGTTATCGTTTTGTGTGACCAAAACCAGACCTTAGGGTGAGATGGTATTTGTAAATTCCAGTGGCAGTTGTGGACCTTCCACTTAGTCTTACACGCTTCCTGAAAGTAACAAGGTAAGTTGGGTTATATACCATGCAAATTTCTTATGCTGTAATTTCTGCTTCTTGATGTGGAGAACGAGAAGATGCTTCTAACCTGCATTTGTAGTCTACTCATCTATGTTGCATACCTGAACAAATACTGAGAAACAGGGTGAAATAGTTGCTAATTCCAGGTCTAAATTCATCTAAAAAAATGGTTTCTCTCATGTAATGAGCTGGAATGTAGTTCTGAGGTGTTTATATGTCAAAATATAGGACAACATACTGAATCTTAAGGTTCAGTGAACTGCACAGCACATAAAAAATGTTATTTTGTAATATTTTTCATCTTGTAATAGGAGAAAAGAGGACTTGAATTCTTGTCACTAAAATGATGTTTTGTTCAGTGTTTTGACAGACATCAGAATATCAGGGTTGTAAATGGGTTGAAATGATGTTAGTACCCAGATAGATGATGTTTGTATGTGCCCTGTGCCAGCCAGTTTTACAGGTGTGTGAAGAGGTCAGTTTGAGAAGATCTGGCCTTCTGTTCTCGGCAAGTCTGAACTGCTGTCCCATAGCTTGTTTTGTGTGGAAGGAGGTTCTTAACACATTTCTGTATAGTTAACTACAGTGTGAGTTAAGGCATACTTACCAAGAGAATAATTGGTTCTGTGGAAGCTGCTAGACTGTAATGAAAGTTACTGATTTCTTACTTGAGTTTTTTGGGTTGAAGTTGGGATAGTTGCTTTTCTCTGGAATAGGAGGCATACTAGACTTTGGTAAATGTCCCATGTTAGATTCAAAAGGACACTATTTTTTAGCTTTTTAAATTGGACAGTGAAGAGTGTAACTTAAACTCTGATCTACCTGTATATAAGTACTGTATATATAGTCTGTAAAGATCCTTTAGAAATGCAAACCCCATAGCAAATCCAGTTTTCTGAAGAGGGCCTAAAAGGATGCCAGAGAGGGACTCTTCATAGGAGGCTGTGGTGATAGGACAAGGGGTAATGGTTTTAAACAGGGAAAGTTCAGTTTAGATACAAGGAGGAAGTTCTTTACTGTGGGGGTGGTGAGGCACTCAGCAGGTTGCCTAGGGCAGTTGTGGCTGCTCCGTCCCTGGAGGTGTTCAGCGCCAGGTTGGACAGAGCCTTGAGCAACCTGGTTTAGTGTGAGGGGTCCCTGACCATGGCAGTGGGGCTGTACTAGATGATCTTAAGGTCCTTCCCAACCCAAAACATTCTGTGACGGAAGAAAAGGCAAGTTTTGTGTTGTTTGCTGGCCACTTTACTGTATCTGCAAATGGCCTATGCAGGAGTCTAGGTAGAATTCATCTGTGCTATTCTGGCTTCTTTCTGCGAAGAGTAGGAAAAGCATTTCTGAGTATGGCATGAAGAAACAATGAGTTAAACAAGTGGATCTTAGCAAGGCAGTGAGTTCATTAGATGACTGTCTCTGGTTCTTTTTAAAATAATTTCTTTAGAGACTTAGGGTAAAGTAGTTCCTGTGTCTTACTGCTGCACGGTTAGAAACTCTAAACTGCTGGTGTGAGGGTTGTGTTTTCGTGTTGTGTTCTCCCAACCTACTTCTGTCCATGAATCCATGTCCTCTTAGCCTGTATCTTAATACTGCATATTTTTTGAGATACGTGTTCTAAGCATTTGCTTTCTTTGCAGAGATAGAGAACAGAGAGAGAGAGAAGCAGCTCTTCAGGATTTTCGTTCTGGAAAGTGTCCAGTTCTTGTGGCAACTTCAGTGGCAGCAAGAGGTCTGGATATTGAAAATGTTCAACATGTTATTAATTTTGATCTTCCTTCCACCATTGAAGAGTACGTACACCGAATTGGACGAACTGGTCGTTGTGGAAATACAGGCAAAGCAGTTTGCTTCTTCGATAACACTTCAGATGGCCATCTTGCACAATCTCTCGTTAAAGTGCTTTCAGATGTAAGTTTCAGATCTTTTTCTGTTCTTCAGGATTCCAGTTTAATGTACTTACCAAGTACTATTTTTTTCTACAGTTATGCAACTCTTAATTATGAATTGTTAAAGCAGTATCTAAATTCATTTCTGATTATGTAGGCCCAGCAGGAAGTTCCTGTTTGGTTGGAAGAAATTGCCTTTAGTTTTCAAGGAGAAAGATTCTTTACACCACCTAATATCCAGAAGGTAAGTCTGCAAATGAACTGGAAGTCTTAGCTTTTAGAACTTTGTCTCAGTGTAACAGTGTGTTCAGCAGTATATATCCAGGGTAATGCCACTGAAACTGTTTCGACTGTCGCTGTGTACCTTATTTCATCGTACATTCTTTGTTGGAATGATGATCAGAGGCATATGCCACCACTAGCATAGCTCTCAACATCACAAGGGCATGCAAGCTCTTTCCCCAAGACAAGGGAGTGTCTGTGAAAAAGACCACCAATAATAACAATGATAAGAGAAATGACAAGGGAAGAGAACACAACCGCTCACCACCTGCTGACCGATACCCAGCCCAACCCGAGCAGTGATCTAGCCCTTCTGGGTAACTGCCCCCATTTTATGTACTGGGCATGATGTGCTGTAGTATGGAATACCTGTTTGGATAGTTTGGGTCAGGTGTCCTGTCTCTGCTTCCTCCTGGCTTCCCCTCCTCCCAGGCAGAGCATGAGACTGAGAAAGTCCTTGGTTGGAGTAAACATTACTGAGCAACAACTAAAACCATCGGTGTTCAGTGCTGTTCCCAGGCTGAAAGTCAAAAACACAGCACTGCACCAGCTACTAAGAAGGAGAAAAATGACTGCTACTGCTGAACCCAGGACAAACAACTGAGTTGAATTCCAAATGAAAGAGCCCACAAGAACAGTAATTACTATCACTCCTTAAACAATCTCTGAAACTCGTGTTAAAGCTCAGACCTTCCTTTCATTGACTATCTTCTTTCATACCATTATTATTGAAAGTACTGGGTGCTTTAGGTGTATTTACCTGCCTGACAAGTTCCCTAATCAGATTTGAACCCTTCCTCTTTGGGTCTTCATGAGACTTCAGTTACACGCTTTTGCTTCCTGCTCATGCTTGGAGCCTCACTGAATCTTTTATATTCCTGTTCAAGGATACTTTTAAAATTCAGGTAAATTGCTTTCAAAAGTGGGTCTCAATCAAAGGGGATGGTGGATCTCTAGATTGCTCCCAGATACACATATCCAACCTTTGTGGAGTGTCTCCCAGAATTTAATGACATCTGTCATTTCTAGGTCCAAGTGGATCCTTCATTGTCCTTTGACTCTTTGTCCACATAGAATACTTTAAGGGCAACTGCCCTCTTAATCATAAACATGCAGTGCACCAACTCTTTTGAGTTGGAGATCATCAGGTTGTATTCCTTTTTTATGAGACTTCATGTCATTCTGACATGAGATTTTGACAGAAACTGCGTATTTATAATCAGCTCTCTTGTTTCTATTTTTTTCCCTTTGAAATGAACTATTCAAGTTGTTTTTTGCCATTTTACCATTACTGAAAGAGGCATTTTATCAGCCACTGTTCGGTAAGGATCCTGATGCCCTTTCTCTTACAGAAGAAAGGTAACACTTCCGTTTCTACAATATTCACTTCCTCTTTCAAAGGAACTGCATGCAAGGGCCATTTGATAACCAAATGATGAATTTGAAAGAGGAATCTGTTGGAGGCTCTTAGCCTGTTTATTGTGGGGCAGTCTTACACGTGACTGAGTTTCATCATTTTTCCAAAGGAAAAGGCTTTTGTCTTTTTATCGGGAAAGCAGTGCAGATATTCATTCTTAACTAGGAAATGGAGAGTTTTTCCCCAAAGCTGTGTCACCTGATTTGTGTTGGGTAGGAGAAATTGGGATTTGAACTTTGGGAAGGATTATTCTCATACCTGATAAAATCTGAGGTTTATTAAAGTGCTTTAAAAAAACTGAGGCCTAACCACCTATGTATAGAAGTTTTATGATGAAAGAGCTTCTGTATTTATTAAAAATATGGTATTCAAATTCTATTGAAATACATGCATGCAGAAAGCTAAAATTGTTTTGTAGTGACTGTCACCGCTAAATTGTTGGAAGTGTTAATGATTCTAAACCGGTACCTGTTCTGTCCTAGAATTACAGAGGCAGAGGCAACATGGGCCCAGAAAGAATGAAGATGGTGTATTCTGGAAGTGCACAGGAGTCATGGGATTAGAACTACTTCAGTATCAAACTAGATTGTATTCTGTTGTGCTTTAGGTGAACTGTTGCTGTTCATGTTCCTTACTGTTGATCTTTTGAAGTATGTTCTTCTTCAATGTTTAAAAGAGTAGTTCGTATTATATGCTAAAGCTTTCAGCAATGTATATATGCTCTGTTATGATGAACCCAGTGATGATTATCACTTAATGTAAGAAGTCAAAAGTAATTTCTTAGGAAACAGTTCAGATATTAAGTGTTAAAACTTTCAGCGTGTGTTGGATGTTTGATAGCTTGTATGCTGTAAAAAGATGGGGGTTTTGCAAGCAGAAAACCATAGATCCCTTTACTTACTAGTATGTTACAGACTTTTGCATGGGAGGATAGTTGTGCAAAGAGTTAGTTTGGGAAGAGGTTTAGGAAAGGGCCCATCTAAACTCTGTTTGTGCCTTTTTGTAGTGCATCAGTTATAAAACTAATTTAGTAATGAGGTCACATAAGGATCTCTTACACATCTTTGAAGCAGCTACTTAATAAAAACTTCAGTGCATATTAATAGTTGTCTTTTTTTAATATCTAATGTAAAACCAAATGTCATTTTGGTTTCATAAATTGATATTGACATGCATGGAATACATGTCTCCATAGGGAACTAAAGGTCAGTGGCTACATCCACAACTTAGTTGAAACATGTTTTTACAGACCTGTCTTGAGAAAGGTGGAGCTTGTGTGGCTTCTGGTATGTTTTTGCCTTGGACAGACTAAGTCTTCTTCTGTTACCTCTTACGGAAAAGTTTACCCTAGAAAAGGTTTGGTAGCTCATGTCCAAAAGGGCTTCCTAGACTTGTAGAGGCTATATTTGGTAAGCAGCTATTAGCAACAGGTCAAGGAGATTTCCTTAAAGTTGCCTTTTTTTGTTTGTTTGTTTTTAATTTCTTTTAAATGTATTATTCGTTACCATTTTGGTATGCTATAAGGATGCATCGTTATGTCAGTTTCACAGAGGAAAATGGCAAAGTAATTGTCGTAGTTTGTAATGTCTTGCACAGCTGAGCAAGCTTAAAAACTTCTCTTTCAAGTTCTCTGGTATTTAGCACGCCATGCTGAGCACTATTTCTTGTACAGTCTTCCCATTTAATACAGGAAATAATATGTGTAAGTTCTGCTTAGAAGGTTTAATGCCCGTGTTTGTGAGAATTGGAACTGACTTGGGCAGTACTGTGTAATCGGTTGTGGAAATGCAGGCTGTCATTTTTACTTTTTATATGAATATATTTTCAGAAGTGTTTGTCTACTTATTACAAAAATACTGTTATTTTTGTAGACTACTTCTACTGCTACCTAATGTGCAAAAAAGGTAGAAAAAAATCTTAACTGTATACTCAGAAGCAGGCTGAAGGGATGGTATACCTAAATTGCAGCTCATAAACAGTGTATGTATTTAAGCTTGAAGTTTGTAATTCAGAGTACAATACCCTGACTCCTTTTCCTGACAAGCCTCTTTGAAGATTATTTTACATCCATTCTGAACTTCAGGTAAGAAATTGAGGGTGCTTTTGTTCCTGGCTGCAAGAAATGCAAGTGAACTATTATTTTTGGAGGAAGCTGTACAGCTGATAAGAGTCTTCCATTTCTGTGAGAAGAAACCAAAGGAAATACGGTCATAGGCCACTTGTACAATAGCCTTAGAAGGGAACCTGGGTTATCTGTGTTTAAAGGTCTACTTAGATAACTGGGTGTTTTTGCTTTGCCCTCCCATTTTACACCTTTTGAGTCAGGGGTGTAAGCATCAGTGGGAATTGCGTAACTGTCCAAAGAGCTATTCTGGCCCCATTGTTCTTAAACTCTTGTACTGAAAGCTAGGCAAGAAAAAAAATGATACTCTTGTAGCTTAGAGCTGCTGTTACTGTAGTGCTGTGTCACATTGTCATGATTTAAACCCAGCCGCTAACTCAAAACCAGGGAGCCACTTGCTCACTCACTGCCTCTTCCTCCCCCTGCTCCTGGAGGGATGGGGAGGAGATCGAAATAATGTAATTCCCAGGGGCTGAGATAAGAACAGTTCAGGAACTAAGGTATAATACAAGCCACTGCTGCTACCACCAATAATAATAATGGTAAGGGAAGTAACAAGGGAAGAGAATACAGCTGCTCACCGCCGATACCCAGCCCAACCCAAGCAGTGATCTAGCCTTTCTGGGTAACTGCCTCAGTTCATATACTGGGCATGATGTGCTGTGGTATGGAATACCTCTTTGGTTAGTTTGGGTCAGGTGTCCTGTCTCTGCTTCCTCCTGGCTTCCCATCCTCCCTGGCAGAGCATGAGACTGAGGAAGTCCTTGATCAGAGTAAACATTACTGAGCAACAACTAAAGACAGCGGTGTTATCAGTGCTCTTCCCAGGCTGAAAGAAACACAGCACTGCACCAGCTACTATGATGATCAGAGGGAAGACAGGGCCAGTCACTGGTGACCTTAAGACATCTAATTGGTGGGCTATATAAGTGCTACATAGCAGGCAACAGCATATAATTAAGTTCATTGGCTGTTTTCCCCTAAAATCAAATCCCCCTGAGGTATACATTGGACTTCCCCACCTTTCCGCATTGCCCAAGTATATTGAGCAAAACCAATCTCCTGAGTGGGTTTGCCTTTACCTGAAGCAGGAATAACCCAGACTGTCTTCCCTAGCACATTCTTTACGTGCACCACAGTAACTTTATGCCCTTCTACAGTATGTAAAAGTTCTGACTGGGCTGGGCCAGCCTTGTTGGCAGATCCTCTGCTGTTCACCAACAAGGTGGCTTTTGGTAAATGTGTATCCCAATGTTTGGAAGTTCCCCCACCCATCGGTCTCTGTAGTTTTTAACAGCCCATTGTACCGTTTGATTTTCCCAGAGGCTGGTCCATGGTAGGGGATGTGATATAACCACTCAGTGCCATGCGCTTTGGCCCAAGTGTCCATAAGGTTATTCCAGAAATGAGTCCCATTGTCTGACTGAATTCTCTCTGGGGTGCCGTGTCACCACAAAATCTCAAGGCCCAGGACAGTGTTCCGGGCAGTGGCGTGGGGCACAGCGTATGTTTCCAGCCATCTGGTGGTTGCTTCCACCATGGGAAGCACGTGGTGCTTGCCTTGGGGGGGTTGGCGGGAGTGTGATACAGTCAATCTGCCAGGCTTCCTCACATTAGTTCTTCAGCCATCATTCTTCATACCAAAGAGACTTCTACCACTTGGCTTACTTAATTGTAGCACATTTCACATTCATGAATAACCTGGGCAATAGTGTCCATTGTTAAGTCCACCCCTTGATCACGGGCCCATCTGTATGTTGCATCTCTGCCCTGATGGCCTGAAGTGTCATGGGCCCATCGAGCCAAAAATAATTCACCCTTATGTTGCCAATCTAAGTCCATCTGAGCCACTTCAATCTTAGCAGCTTTATCCACTTGGTTGTTCTGGTGTTCCTCAGTGGCCCAGCTCTTGTGTACATGAACGTCTACATGGCGTACCTTCACCACCAGGCTCTGCACCCGGGCAGCGATATCCTGCCACAGTGCAGCAGCCCAGATGGGTTTACATTTGCTTTGCCAGTTGCTCTGCTTCCATTGCTGCAACCACCCCCACAGGGCATTTACCACCATCCATGAGTCAGTATAGGTATAAATTACTGGCCACTTTTCTCCTTCAGCAATGTCTAAGGCCAGCTGGATGGCTTTCACCGTGGCAAACTGACTCGATTCACCTTCTCCTTCAGCAGTTGCTGCAGCTTGTCGCTGAGGACTCCATACAGCTCCCTTCCATCTCCGATACTTTCCCACAATACAGCAGGACCCATCAGTAAGCAAGACATACTGCTTTTCACTCTCTGCCAGTTTATTATATGGTGGGGTCTCTTCCGCACACATCACCTCCTCCTCTGGTGACATTCCAAAAACTTTGCCCTCTGGCCAGCCCATGATGACTTCTAGAATGCCTGGACGACTGGGATTTCACAGAATCATAGAATAGTTAGGGTTGGAAAGGACCTTAAATTCATCAAGTTCCATCCAACCCCCCTGCCATGGGTAGGGACACCTTGCTCTAAACCATATCACCCAAGGCCTCGTCCAACCTGGCCTTTAACACTGCCAGGGATGGAGCATTCACAACCTCCTTGGGCAACCTATTCCAGTGCCTCACCACCCTAACAGAAAAGAATTTCCTCCTATATCCAATCTAAACTTTCCCTGTTTAAGTTTTAACCCATTACCCCTTGCCCTACCACTACAGTCCCTAATGAAGAGTCATCATCATCATCATGGCTTGACTTCGCGAACGAAGATTTGGGAAGGGCATTTACCCATGCTTACTACAAGCGCGCTGGTGACTAAGAAGGCCAATGTGGGATAGGCAAATCCGGCTACAAAAAGCACAGCAGAAGGTCTCCTTGGGTGAAACAGGTGGGGCGCGATTCTTCCTGCGTTGTCTTTTCTCCTCGAGACTAGTTCTTCGTGAACTCTCAAAGGAGTCAGCGGCATTATGTATGGTGTGCCTCCAAGTCTCCCGATTGGAGGCCAAGGTGGACCACTGGTGGTAGTCAATATGGCCAAGGCTAAGGTATTGCTTCAGGGAGTCCTTGTATCTCTTCTTTGGGGCACCTCTCTTGTGGCTACCAGTGGCAAGTTCACCGTAAAACACGATCTTGGGGAGGCAGTGATCCTTCATTCTAGAGACGTGCCCTGCCCAGCGCAGCTGCAGTTTCAGCAATGTGGCCTCGATGCTGGTGACCCCTGCCTGTTTGAGGACAGTGACATTAGACACATAGTCAGTCCAATGGATGTTTAGAATTGTACGGAGGCAGCACTGATGAAAGCGTTCCAGGAGTCGCAGGTGATGACGGTAGATGACCCATGATTCAGACCCATATAAAAGAGTAGACAATACAATGGCTCTGTAGACACTGATCTTTGTACTTTTCTTCAGGTGTTTATTACACCAGACTCTTTTATGGAGTTTTCCAAAGGCTCTATATGCCTTTGCTATTCTGTTGTCTATCTCTTTGTCGATCGTGGCGTCCGAGGAAATGATGCTTCCCAGATAGCTGAACTGCTGAACTGACTCAGGCTCTGACTCGCCGATGGTAATATGGGGATGGCGATAATCTTCTTGCGGTGCAGGTTGGTAGAGGACTACTGTCTTCTTCAAGCTGACTTCCAGCCCAAAAACCTCAGCCGCCTCCGCAAAGCAAGATGTTAAATGCTGC